CATTTCTAAAAGGAAAATGTATTGAACGGATTATGCCAAAACATAGACAGAAACTATACCAGCTTTATCATGTCTACTTTGAGTAAATTACTGTATTGACAAACCTGTATTTCATTGACATTTCACACCTGCAAGCCCAAAATAATCTGGTCTTGTTTGGATTTTAACAAGCCATCTGGCAGAAGCATTTAGGAATATTCTGATAATATACAAGAGTGTACAGCTGATGTGGGCTCATGCAGCGGCCGTTCTCTCTCACTCACTGAAACATTTCAGCTCTCATTCCAATCGTTCTTTCTTGTATCAGTTGTGAATATTTAGAAATTGATCATGCCCTCTTTGTCAGACTAAAAATTGTTTACTTTGCTGAGCATGTGCTTGATTAGCTTTGTTTTTCGCTCGTCACAGGTCTTGAACCAGCTCGTCCCAACCTCCTCCTGGGGCTTCTGATCTGCCAGAAGGACAGGAAACGGGCCGGTGCTCCCATAGAAACGGAGGAGAAACGCACCAAGACTCAGCACAAAGACGCGGACGAAGTTGGACTTTCGAAAAGCTCTCCGTCAGTTAGAGCAGACCGGAGCGCAAAGCAGACTCTCGAGATCCCCTTCAGCACAACCCCCCCGGGATCGCCTCCTCCCAGCTCAGAGACCGCAAGCGGCACAAGCGCTGCGGCGGTGCTCTCTCTGCTGTCGTCCGTTGCAGCTCCGCCCGCATCCATGACCACCGGGAAGGATTCTCCATCCGCCTCTGTTGCATCCGCCACTCCTCTTCAGACCATCCTCAACACTCTTTTCAGGAAGAAAAAGCATGACTCTGACGCCTCCAACTCTCCGTCTGACTTTTCCGGGGAGCTCCCCGCCCCCTCCTCAATGATCGACCCCATTGTGCGGCAGTATGCTCAGAATTCGAAGGAGAAACCGGTGGAGGAAGACGAAGACGATCGGCCATACGATCCTGAAGAGGAGTATGATCCCAGTAGAGGCTATAATACGCCCAAGAAGCCGGTGGAGCTTGTTGGAAAAGTCGAGGTCTCCAGGCAGTCGGAGGTAGCTGCGGGTGAAACCGATGATGTGGCATATGACCCAGAGGATGACTCGATTTTCGAAGAGGTCAAAACCTCGGTCCCGGGTCAAGCTAAGCCAGAGTGCATACCAGATCCACAAAAAATCCTCGAGAGCCTGAAAAAAATCGGAGAGCAAGCGCTGCAGAGGCAGACAGAGCAGACGACGCCCACAGAGGCCTCTGGTGCCTCATTGGCAGTCGCAAACGCAACCCAACCCGCCAAGCCTCTTTTGCCCAGTAACCAGATCGCTCATCTTGGCAAAAAGGTCGAAGAGCTAGTAAAGACCTCTTCTGCAGCCGCTCCCTCGATAAACCAGAGGAGAGATCCCAGACAGAGTAGGGACTCTCACCTGTCTACAGGTGGAGATAAACTGTCTGACGAGCCAGAGGTGAAAGAGGAGACGTCTGATATGCCGACCGAGTCCGTGCCTCCACCGTCGGTGGCAAAAGAACCAGAGCAGCCAAAGGCAGCTGAATCTGCCGACACCTCACAAGGTCCTGAAGCATCGCCGCAGCAAGAAGAGGCGAAAAATGAGACCCTACCCTTCCTTCAGTCAGACAAGGAAGAAGTATCAATTCCTTTATTAGGAGAGGAGGTGGAGCCAGATATGGACGTCAACTACATGGATGAAAAAGAGGTGAAGCCTGTGGAGTCTATCAAGGCCGAAGCAGAGATGGACAAGTACAGTCTTTGGCCCAATGCTGCCAGTATTCTAAAAGCTAGCGAGGATTCGGAGTATGAAGAGAATAGCCAGGATGCAGCCAATTTAAGCTACTACCGAGAGTCTGCTGGCAGCTCTGCAATAACGTCTACTATCCCGGTCCTCACTCAGAGCACCATGGCTGACTCCCAGTCCCGCCACGGGCTGCACCACCTGTCAGGGCACAGCTACGATGACGACTACAGGCCCACCCCAGACATCCCCCCACAGTCCAACTTCCCCGCTTCCCATTCCATGCAGGGCCAGAACCTGATCATGAGGCCTTCGTCCGTGTCCATGATGCCGCCCATGCAGGGCCCCCCCCCCCGACGTCAGGCCCCCCCTCTATCCAGGGACCCCCTCTACCCATCCATCTTTCTCACCCCGTGCGCGTCCCACTCCCCATGCCGGGCGACAGCGCTCAGCAGTATGGGCCGCCCCCATCCTCGTACCCGCCCTACCAGAACCAGTGGCTCAACACCCATCAGCCCCCGCCCCCACCCCCCCCCCAGAACACCATGCAGCCCAGAGGACCACCTGTGCCATTCCCTCCCATTGGTCAGAGAGCCCCCCCTCCACAAATGTTTGACCCGTCCATGCCCCCGCAGCACGTCAGACAGCAGGCCCCCCATTCAGGCCTGCCCCCGATTCCCTCTTACGACGGACAGAACAGTTTACCCAGATTCGCCGGTCCTCCTCCTCCGTTTAATTTCCCCGCAAACAGAGCGCCTCCTCCTTTTGCCGCACCACCATCGAGTCACTTTGACAACAGGCTCCCGCCACCATCCGTCTTCCCCGGGCCCAGAGGTCCCCTACCATCCCAGTATGCCGACCAGCAGTATAACCAGGACACTCCCAGCAACTCCTTCACCTCCAACGCGGACCAGAATCCAAACACACTCCACATTTTCAAAGACAATCAGGGCCCTCCAACGGGCCCGGCGTACCGAGCTCCCCCGCCCAACCAGTATGAGGACAGGAGAGGTCCCCTGCCCGGTGGAGAGATGGGTGGCCGGCTCTTCCAGCCACAAAATCCCTATTCCAGAATGTCGACCTCACCACCGCACCGAGGGTCTTTCGATGAGCTCAGAGGCTCCCCGGCTCAAGAAAACAGAGCCCACCCCTCCCAGGCTTTTGCCGGGTCGGAGCGCTACCGCTTCGACTGGCACCCAGAGGAGCACCGGCCCATTCGCCACGGCGGGCCGCTCCTCCCGACCCCCACAGAGGGACTGCTCGGCCCCTCCGGTCGGCACGGAGCCCACAGCCCAGACCTCCACAGAGAAGACCTCTGGCGCCACCACTCCCCCGAAATGAGGAGGAGGAGCGGCCCGGCCCACGAGGACCCGGACGCCCGCGGCGGGGACCGCTTCGGCCGCTTCGAAGGGATGAACAGAGAGCTGACCGGCCCCTCGCCGGCCGCAGAGGAGCGGCAGAGAGAGCCGTCCGAGGACCGACGGAGGGAGAGGGACAAAGAAGACCCTCGGGGTGGCAGGCCGTCGTGGGAGAGAGGGCGCGGCCGGCGCTGGAGCCGAGAGCGGGAGTGGGACAGAGGCCGAGAGCGGGAGCGGGACCAGGACCGCGGGCGGGACAGAGACCGCAGCCGGGGGAGGGACGCCGAGAAGCAAAAGGAGACGGAGGCAGAGCGACACAAAGACCAGGAGCCCGACAAGAAAAGAGACAGGGAAAGGGACAGAGACAGAGGTAGGGATTCTGACCGGAAGGACCATGACCGTGACAGGACAAGAACCCGGGACAGGGAACGAGACAAAGACAGAAGACGAGATAGGTCCAGAAGCAAGGACAGAGACCGGGACCGTGGCAAAGACCGGGCCAGAGACAGAGACCGGGAGAGAGACCGAGATAGGGACAGGGAGAAGGAAAAGGAGAGGGACAGAGACCGGGACAAAGACAAGGAGAAGGACAAGGACAGGGAGAGGGACAAGGAGAAGGACAAGGACAGGGAGAGGGACAAGGAGAAGGACAAGGATAGGGATAAGGACAGGGAGAGGGATAGGGACAAGGATAAGGACAAGGACCGGGATAGGGAGAAGGACAGGGATAGGGACAAGGAGAAGGACAAGGAGAGGGATAGGGAAAAGGACAGGGATAGGGACAAGGAGAAAGACAGGGAGAGGGACAGGGATAAGGAGAAGGATAGGGACAGGGAGAGGGACAAAGACCGGGATAGGGAGAGGGACAAGGACCGGGACAAGGACAGGGAGAGGGACAAGGAAAAGGAAAGAGATCGGGACAAAGACCGAGATCGCAGAGAAAGGAGCAGAAGTCGAGAAAAGCGAGAAGAGAAAAAAGACAATAGACGTGGAACATCTAAGGAGAAATCTAAAACTTCAGAAAATGACAAGAAAGCCTCCTAGTGTTCATTTTGTGGACATTCTGATTTTCAGTCAGCTGTCTTTAACCAGTCAGGCGTCACTGTACATGTAGATATTAGTATTTCCTCCCATTTTCAGTTGTGCTTCTGTTAGGGGAAAATGAAACTATGGTATTTGTATTCTTTGTCAAGGTCTCCACGTTTGTTTTAGTACCTTTTGGACAGAAAAAAAAGACCATCTAATTTGCTAGTGTGCAATGCGTATAACGACTGCTGAGTCCTTTTACGTGTACCTTCCTCCTTTTGAAGCTTTTTTTTTCTGTTTTCTTTTTTTTTTTAAGAAAATGAATAATGTAACTGATGGACACACATTTCCAAGATGTAAATATGAACATATGTGTATATATACTGATGTTTTTAATCACATTTTTTCTAAATTGAGAAAATAAAGCCATATATCTGAGATAGAAAAAGTGAAGGTTCAGGAAACTGTTTACATAAAAAAAAAGGCTTCCACTATTTACAGCCCATCAATAGTTCATGTTAATGATATGTCCAGATGTTGTCGCAGCTCAACTAATTAAACCTGTTCAGTGAGATTTGTTTCCTCGTTTTCCCTGCGATACCGTTTCTGGCCAGAAAGTTGGATAAATTCAGAAAACCAGCGTTTAATTTCTGCTTTAATTGAAAAGAAGTCTCACTTGCTCCAGTTATTTACACGAGAACAGAGGTGTCAGACACAATCCCCTAGTTTGGATAAAAGACTATGAGCCAGAATTTTAGTTTCACAAAAAAAAATATATTCTGACACCATCAAATTACAGTAGATTTAAAAGGCACTCAATCATTGACAGTTTAGAACTTTTTCATAAGCTTTAGCTTCTTCCTTTCATTAGAAACTTCTGTCAACTCTGGCTCTGCAGAGAAACACTGGAGGTCTTGAAGGACTCCTGGATCTTCTTCGGGCACCACACGAACTCCTCTTTAGGATCGTAGTGGCGGTAGGCGAACTCGATGAGCTCCCGGCGCTTTTTCTTATCGAGGACGGCAAACACAAAGTAGTTGAGGACGCTTTCTCTGATGTTTGGGAGCAGTCCTTGGACGAGAGTCTCGTTCAGGAAGAAGTGGACCAGAGGGGCTTGGTAGTGCTGGAATCCCAGGGTTCCCAGGCACTTGAGGATGCGGGTGATGCGCAGGCTATTATGTGTGTGACTGGCAAACAGCAACAAAAAAAGAACATATAAAAGGAATTTATTTGTTTTACAAAAAGTCCTTTGGACAATGTAGAGATAGCTCACCTGTTGAGGTTGTTGAATCTCTGCTCCCAGTGTGTAGCCTTTTGTAACTCTCCTGTCTCCTCATCGGACATCTCGATGCCATAGAAGTCCAGCATGAGTTTGTATGACTTCAGCAGATTCTGCTTTGCATCGTCACTACGGAGAAACTCCTGAAGGAAACAAAGACGTCAGGTCACACATTTCCTGGGCTCGGTTTCACTGTTGAAGCAAAACAACTCCTCGTCTTTACCTGAATCTCCTCTGGTGTGAGTGTTTTGGCTTCGTGGTTCATCCCTGGCTCTTGCAGCGGAAACAGCCTTTGAATGGTAATAAGAACAATTATAACTACTGACAGTGAAGGTTCTATTTGACATTTCTGACCGGAGCTTACCACTGAATGAAAGTGTGAACGTGTTCCAGATCCTCGTAATTCCCGTACCACTCTTTGTGGAAAACGGATATGTGGACTCCTAACAACAAAGGAGTCGCCATGAGTGGGTCAGTATGTGCGTGCGCAGCTGAAAAACACTGGCTATGCAGCAAGCGGCATATTTTCTGCTCAGGAAACAGAAACTAAACTGGAGCAAAGAAGTAGGAGCCCAAACCCAACTCAAACAATGCAGCAAAGCTTGTTTGACATGTGGACCTGACTTCAGATTTGAAGAATCTTGGTTCAACAACAAAAGGAAATCTCAGCTCCCAAAAGAACTGATACTGATCATAATCTCCATCCTTTTTTTCTTACAGTCAGCAGCTAAAGTCACCGACCCCACACTGCTCTGGGCGGCTTACCGTCTGGTAGAGAGCATGTCCGTCCCGTGTAGAAGCTCAGATTGGGCATGTCCTGTTCAGAATGGGAGACATTTACTTTCACTTTATTCTAACAAGACTTCTAAGCTTTTAAAAAGCCTTTAAATGTACTTACAAGCGTTTTCCTTTGAAAAACGGTAAGCCCGGGAAGCCCACGCGCAGCCGTCTGCCCACGAAGAGCCACGCGCGACTCAGGCCGCGCAGCACGCGCCTGAAGAGGGTCGCGAGGAGCCTGAAGAGAGACATGGCCCCGCGCCGTGAGTTTACTTTCGCTTTCTGCGGAGCTCAGTTGCTGAAAAACGAAACTTTGACTCCCACGAGTGGAACCTCAGGGCCGTGTTTCAGTTTCGAAACAATCCCACTGACTTTAACACAGTTAACTATCCTCTGAGCGCAAATAGGACTTTTAATTAGACTGAATTGTGCGTTTAATGGATGCATTTATCAAATTTCCCGCATGGCCTACACACTATTCAGCAGAAACCCACTCGCTTATTTCTTAAAAAACAGATGTTTAAGTAGTAAATGATACACTCGGAGAACTGTGAGAAAAAAGGTTTAGCCCCTATGTCTTCCTCCAATCCAAACATTTAAGCTTTCACTTTTTAGTTATGTCAAAAAAAATAAATAGATAAAATTGAAAATGCCCAAATGAAATGATACTCTCAAACTCCCTAGATTGATATTTTCTTATTTTTCATCTTAGTATGATGTATACATGACAATAAGATATGTGTTTGGAAACAAAAAAAAAACAAACAAACAAAAAAGAATAGTATTTATAGGAAGTGGTGGACAAAAGAAGCAGCAAGACTTAAAAACATGAACAGTTTCTGAAAACGTCCTTTTTTGGAGTTTTAATGGCAAAAATATAAAGATTGCTCCCTGTCTTAACTGTGAAGATGACTTCATTCTAAGCTACTCCTGTTTGTTTATTTAAAAGTAAAGAGCTTATCTAAACACTTTAACTGGAGCCCGTTATGAATCAAACAGGCCAAAAACAGACAATTATGCTCAAGGGTGATAATAAACTTTACATTAGGAACTTTTTATTGGCATCAAAACATTACATTAGTTCACAACAGTGAGCATTTGAAATGTGGCAAACAGAACTGGGTAGGGAAATTTGAGAAAAGACACCCATTGAATTCATCCAAAGTTCATCTGAAAGATTTCCTTCTCATTCTGTATGATATTAAACGAGAAAAAAGGAGGAATTTGGATTATCAGGACCAAAATTCATTGTGTCCGCCTCTGTGGGATCGGGATAACCACTGTTCATATCTCCGTCGTTGTTCCCGGCTGGTACTGATGTGAAGATAGCATCGTGTTTACAGTACGTTTCCACGTCTGGTTTTCTACAAGATTGGCGCTCGGAAAAAATGAGCACCTCGCCTCCAGTCAGGGGACATCCTGCTTTTAATGTCTTCCTGTGGAAGATAAAGGGGATGCACATTCTGTCCTGCAGATATGAGATGAGCGCGTCAGATAGGGCCGCATCATCACTCCATGGAGCTGTAGAAGCGCAGAGCCCTTTATTTCAGAGTCCCAAGTCTTTTTGTGGTTACGGCCCATTACTCTGATGAGCAATGCGCGACTCTTTTCGAAGGTAAACGATTTTCCTTGCGGCGAGTGGAGAAAGTTCCGGCTCGTTTCCATGCCTCACAGCTAACAATTGATTCATTGGTGGTTACTTAAACATGGCCGATGTCTGGCCGATTAAAAAAGAAAACACAGCAAGGAGACAGCCCTATGTTCTGAGCAGAACGGAGGCAGTAAATGTGGATTTGAACGATTGATTGCCAGCTCTTTCTGACCGGCTTTAGAGCCTGGATCGTTCCCTCAGATTGGGCTGCCTTCCGGGAACACATGGGCTCTCATGGAGGGAGTGGCGGTGAAACGGCGTGCGGCGTGGAGCTCGCTAGAGCCAGAATGCTGGACCTAGTTAGTGTGACACCGAGAACAAACCCTATAGAGACCTCGTGAAAGCTCAATGGGGGCTCTGCCATTGAGTCTAAACACGCTCACACCCGTCATCCCTCCGTCCCAGGCTGTGCGTTGGGTCTGGGAACTGCACGGGCTCAGTGTGCTTGATAAAGGTCAGCGCCCCCACCAGCTCACGCCTCACTCACCACTGGGTGTGATGCTTTAAGAGAGCGTGGAGGGAACGCCCCCAACACGAAGGCCCCTTCCAGAGAGAAATGATCAAGGGAGCCCAGTCCAAAAAGACCAGATGATGTTAAAATTGCCCCATCCATGATAGCACCTCCCCCATATTTAACAGATTGGATAAGGGTCTGCTGGGCGGTACGGTGGTGGTCAGCACCATGGCCTCACAGGAAGAGGGTTCTGGGTTTGAATCCCTGGGGGGAACCAGGACCTTTCTGGGTGGAGTCTACATGTTCTCCCTGTGTCTGCGTGGGTTCTCTCCGGGTTCTCCGGCTTCCTCCCACTGCTCTGCATTGCATCGCCTGTGACATGTGGGGGTTACCTGCCACAAAATTTTTGTCATCCTTCAGTTTTTTCCATTCGGAAACCGTCACTCTCTTTCTGTCAGACACCCTCACGCCATTGCCCTGGCCTGTTGCCGAGGTAACGCCTCCATCTTTGTGGTAAATACCGAACACAGTGAAAAAAAAAGCACAGAGCTGTGGAATTGTATTTTTCTGAGGCCGGCACATCCCATTAAAAGCCTCTGTAATAAATGAGTTTGTCAACAAAGAGGAGAAAGTGAAGTGTCACTAAAGTGGTGGCAATTTAGAGGAGTCTGCAAACGAGTACTTCGTTGCCTTCCTCGATGTGAAAAACAGGCTTTGTTTAATATTAAACCACAGGAGCTTTTATTGAAAAACTAGTGGAACTTTTTGACATTTCCACAAGTTGTTGTTGTCGAACCTTTAAAGAAAAAACAGTCTGTCATAGCTTCCCACACTCTTAAATATAACTCAGATTATGCAAGCCTGTGCTGAAAACTGATGTGGAGGTTAAAAAAGGTGGAGAATGCTTGAAGAAAAGAAGGTTAAACTAAATTATGTCTGTGAATAGCTAAAGTATTTTTGCTCAATGTGAATTAAATCTTACATCATACTTTTTACATACTTGGTCCTTACTGCAGGAGTTTAATTAATTGTACTTTACTCTTTTAGCCAACTCTTGCTCATATTTCATATGCTATATTTATTTTGTTCTTAGCATGCTTTTAGAGCAAAAAAAAAAAATGGAAGAGGAATATGCACAGTCTCCACCGAGAACCCCATGTTGAGGCTCAAACCCAAAACATTCATGTTCCTAAATAGTGGCGCCACAGAAGGATTCTAAATGGTTTTATTTTATAGAACCTTTTCTGATTCTTTGTTAATCTGTAACTGAGTTGTACTCTGGCCTCCCAGTGAAGCATCAGCCTGACTATCACTCATGATTTAGAATACATTGTTGACAGAAGACTGTAATCAGCACAATAGGGGCTAAATATATCATCTGTTGGCGTTAGGTTTTTCCACCACGCTTAAAAAGAGTGTGGCTAGTGATGCTTGTTCTAAAATTGGAAAAGCCGTTAAGATATGAATTACTGTCATCATTTTAAAAACCAGGGGTTTGTTTGTTTGGTGAAGCTGTAAGTGAGTTTAACTCACTCATAGCTTGTGTCACATACTGGCAAACTTCCTTTAAAAAGGAAGGGTTCAGGCACTCCAACCTTTTCATGGTTCCATATTTTCCAGTTCTCAGTTCTGACACTAGGGGCCAGCATAGCCTCACATAAAACCCACCAAATTCTGAGGCCTGCAGCACATTTCAGAATCAAGTGACTGAGAGCTGACGCTCCAGTTTTCAGAGTGTTACACTGACTCTTTCACAGTCTTTTTCTCTCCTATGCCACTGAAATAGGTACAAGGAAAGCAAGACAGAAACAGCATTCATGAGCTTCTCACTTCTCTGTGGACGAATCTTTGGGTGCTATATAAGTCAGCAGGAGGGCATAAGTAAAGTAAATATACATCTATCACTATTGTGTGAGTGGTAAAATTAGGCTTTTAATCTGTAACCTTCAGATATCTATATGGGCCCTTTCATATCTATTTCAGTGCTCCATTATCCAACATGATGGAAACTACCCACAAAGAATTCAGATTGAATAAAAAAGGAGACACATGATGATGTAACAAAAAAATAATTGGAACAAATAATGAAGGATCTGACCAAAAAAAGACACAACAATCCCATTTTGAGGAATTTCTGCTCTTGTTTTTCTTAGTGCACCACTGCGATAGTGACATGACACACCTTCTTCCATGGGTTGGGGTTTTATGACACTAAAGCCAACAGTAAAACAGTATTTTATGTGCTCCGTGTGGATTTTACAGGCAGCGAGCTGCAGGTGGTGGTGGCGATCTTTTTTAATGACCCATTTTCCTCATGCAGAAGAATCCAGGTGAGTCCATTTTCCACACATACAGTTAATCATGGCTGCCCATATTCACCCCTGTTCACATTTATGAAAACGCAGTCCTGTGGGAAGTCAATTTATTTTGCTATTTGATTTATTTCTTTTATTAGGACTCCTCGTGGAGGTTACCTAATAAGATCTGCTCAGCCCTGTTGGGGAGAAAAATGGATGCAAGGCTAAAACTTTGCACTTTAAAATATTGATATTCACAAAGCAATCCTGAGTTCCATAAGAAAAACAGTCAAACAAAGCTACATTTCCATTAACCTTAGAGTTCAATCATACGCGCTGCATGCATGAATTGCCACTGCCGAACAGGAAGTTAGTCTAGCCAGAGAGAGGGGGTGAACAGTTCATTATATTGTTAGTTATTTTAATTTGTGAGAAAAAAATCTTAATTCATTATGGTTGCATGCTCATCTGTTATGTGTTCTTGTGGGGTCCATTCCAAATAAGCTGTTGGTCACTCAACTTTGCAGAAGTGGTAACTAGCTTTATTTTTGGAGACAGATGGGCTGGATGTACAAAATATATTCAAAATGGAGTATAGAAACCAAAACATAAACTGAGGCAATAATGTTTTTTCTTTTGTCTGTGTGTACTGCATTCATCCATCTTTCATGAGGAGCACAGAGACATAAGCTCTGTTGTCAGAGCCAAATTAAAAAGCAAAAATGCTGCACAATG